TTATTTTATTCAAAAAACTTAGTCAAAATATTTGTTTGTGAAATAATTGTATTTAAGATTCTTCTTTTAAATTTACATTTTTATAAATTTACACTTTAATTTACTATAGATGTGAAAATAAATTCAAAAGAATAGAAATTTTAAAAATATATACACGTATAATTTTAAAAGTAATCAGCAGATTTAAAAAGTAAAATCGAATGGTAATAATAATCAAGAATAAGAATTATTACTGTTCATTTTTACTTTTTAACTGTGAATTTTGAATGCATTCTAATGCATTTTAATTTTAAGAAATCTTTGTAAATACAAATCATATGATTTGTTTTTTTTTTACAAAAAGCTGGCTGCAATGAGTCTGGATATATATTTACTTTTCATTTAATTATTGTAGTCTTTTAGTTTTAGCCAAACACACACGCTGAAATATACAAACAACTTCCCTTTATATATGTATAGATTACTAATATTCATGTCAGAAAGTAAAGGATCCTTTTACATTTACTGTACATAACTTTTTGTTTTGTTTCAGTAGTTATTTTGATTTTATGTTGAAAAAGCTTTATATTTTTACACAGTAATACAACAACCTGGTTCTTTCCACAATATATTCTAAGCTAATAATGTTGTAATGTTTGATTTCTTGTTTTGAAAATGTCCCACAGCAATATATATATATATATTTCTTGTTGCACACTTTTTCCCGTTAGATAGCAGAAAGTAAAGTTTGATGATGATGTATGAATATTTCACTAAATTTTTTCTTCATTTTCCCTTGCATTTCTTCACATTTTTCATAGCCATTAACTTACAACTCTGCTATAAGAAATTATCAGGTGGAGAAAGCATTTAAAAATGAAAACCTGCATCCTTTTAGGAACTAGATGATCATGACTTTACACAAATTCCTATGAATTACCAGGACTTTTTGGGAACGAGAGTGGATTATTCTCCTGGTGTTTTCATATGCTTTTGAATTCAGAGTTTTCTTTCTGATGGACTGACTATCACCCAAAGCTGAGCTCTGGAAGATATACATTCACATCTTTGCCAGAGGCATTAGTGTGAAAGTGAACACAAGAGATTAGGCTGGAATTTGAACTTGGCACACCAATTCTAATTTCTGCCAATAATAAAAAATCTTATCAAGAGATTGGTGGGGGAGGGACACATTTTTGTAGATATATTTCATTTAAATCATTGAAGAAAATTCTATAAATTGTATTATGAATAGAATGAACTGTGACCAGAGTACTTTGGAATGATGTAGTACCTAACAACTTAGTCTAATTGACCATTATTACTGAAAAAAGTGATTTCAATCCTCCCAGAGTTCAGCATAAATTTCTTTGTTTCTAACTAAATTTTCCTGTTAATAACTTTGCTTAGCTTTTGGAAGGCACATTTGCTATTCTGTGGAATTACATTTCATTTGAGTCATTTACCTTTTCACCATTCACTATTACATAGAAAGTTTTATATTAAATTGCAAATTGGCACTCATTTCTTTGTTTAAAAGGAAATTTTCTTGTTTCTTAATACTTTGCTTAGCTTTTGAAAGGCATAGTAAATAAAGAAAAAGTGCACGTTTGAAATTATCAATATGTGTGTTATGTTGATACCTTTTTAGAAGATATTTCCATGTTTGAGCAGTAAACTGAAAATATTTTTGATGTCACATTTCTATTAGCTTTATGGCTGTGGTGTGCTTGCTTCAGAAGAACAAGTCTTCCAAGTGACCACAACAGCCATTGTAACTATGCTGACCTCACAATGAAACGACAATGCCTAAGCTCTGATTTACACTTTGCCAGATGCATTTTGTATCCAGAGAGATACTTATCTACTAAAATTTGCCTGAAAACCTTCCTGATTTAAATGCACCAGCAATAGCAACCTTTAAATAAATTTGATTGTCTCCACTGACAGTAGAAATTGTTTCAATCATAATCAAAATTAAAGTCAACTGTCTTGATGCAGTATTTTTATGATTAAACTGGTTTTTTCTTACATCAAAGTTTCCATATGCACAACAAAGCAGTAACATTAAAGGCTTCCAATAGAGTTATAATTTGTGGTAGGAATTTATTAATAAATATAAGGAAAACCTTTTGCATCTTCACTACTTATTGGTTTACTGATATAATTTTTCTCATTGGCATAAAAAAGTTTTTAAAACAAAATCTGTAATGCAATTGACCCTGACGTGGCATCTTGATTTCAGTCACCTTCTCACAGACAGAACATGTCTTCCCTACAAATATTTTCATGGCAACTGCTCTGACAAGCACTTACCTGGTGCCCTGACTGCATGAATGCAAGTGTACCACTAGACTGGCATCTAGGTCCCACCTATTTACTAATTAGTTAAATGAAATCACTTCTACTCTAACAGTTTCTTTTCTCACTCTTCCAGCCTGTGGAAGTGCCTTCTGTTTACTTGCTTCCATGATAATTATAATTTTCAAAAATTTATATTCAACATCAATTGTTGTCATCTTGAATCCCGTTCATCTTTTGTCCTTGCCTTAATCCTTCTTATACTCAGTCTTCTCTCTTACTTTAACTCCCTGTAACCCGATATACTAGTAGTATTCCCATCTTGCTTGGGGTGAAATAATTAAAATTATATATATATATATATATATATATATATATATATATATATATATATATATATATATATATATATATATATATATATAGATAGATAGATAGATATATATATATATATATCTATCTATATCTATCTATCTCATACTTATTATAAAACCCAGGTTGTGTGTGTGTCTGTACGTTTATATATTGGATCAGATTTCCTACATTTTTCAACCGATTTCAACAAAACTTCACAGGACTATGTAAAATTACCTTGAGGTGGTTCTAACAACACCAAAAATTGGAAAAACAATTGTTTTTGCACAAAATCAATTTGAAAACACGATTAAGAGGCTCACGATCGTGAGAATGAAAGGGGGACAACTCATATCGAGTTATACTTATCATAAAACCCAGGTTGTTTGTGTGTGTGTGTGTGTTCATTTATATATGGGATCGGATTTCCTACATTTTTCAACCGATTTCAACAAAACTTCACTTTTTTTTTTGGCAAGTAGTGTTTCTTATTGTCTTCCACACTTTTTCCATTATTTTTACATTCAGAATGCTTTAAAAATTCCACTTACAAGACAATTGTTTATAATAAAATTCTATTCAATCGGTAGACTCATAACGATTGAAAACAATGTTTTTCTTTGAGTTTGGGTTTGACCAATTCGTAAAAAAAAAAAAAAAAATCTAAACAAAAACTAATTAAGACATGCGTGTCCGTCAACCTTAAACAATAATCTTTGTCAATTTTATTTTTCAGTCTTTATGTTGGTCGATACTTGATCTATCTCTTACTGTTACATCCCCGGGCTCTACTGCTATATATATATATATATATATATATATATATATATATACACACACACACAAATGTAAGAGAATGAAGAATAAAATTACAATGTTCAAAACATTAATTTAAAACAGGGCTCAATACAAGAGTAGAGCAATAAATATTTATTATACACTGTTGAATTGCTTACATGTCTGCTCTACTCTTGTATTGAGCCCTGTTTTACAGTTGGATAGTTTGCTTCTGTTAAGGTTGAGCACTTTTGCCATCAATCTATACTTGGATAAAGTTAATTTCAACATTTCACTGAAAAATATTCCTATCCCAAACAAGTAATTATGTACATGTGATAATGTAACAGTGTATTATATATATATATATATATATATATATATATATATAAAAAACTTTACATGACCTTCACTCATCCTGTTACTGACAGTTTCATATGCATGTAGAATCTTCAAAAAGTAAGAAGGTAGAAGATTTTTTTTTTTTTTTTTTTTTTTTTTGTATTGTATATGTTTTCTCTGTATTTTTTCATATTTTACATTGAGCACTGTGCCCTTGTAACGTTTGTTTGATATAAATCGTATTATTGTAACATTTTGTTCAGTTAATCATAGAAAGCCCTTAATCTACAAGTATCATGACTATTTTATATTTCTTATTACTTCCTAAGATTTTTTTTTTTTAAACACATGTACTTGTAAAGAACAAATTCTATTAGTTAAACCTCAGGAATTAATAGGAAGGATAAAACAGTCATGTTTACTCATTTATTTAACATTGTTGGTTCACAAACTTCAGTTACTCATTTCTATTTGCTGAGAGTTAATTATTCAAACAATTGTTTAATTTGGAGAAGAGGAGGGTGGGAATGTTAGTAGCTAAGAATCATACAAACAGTGTCTACAATGAGAAACAAAATGTTTTTAAATAAACGACATTATTGCTATTGTTCATGAAGGGCTGTTTAACAAAGAAATTGTTGCTGAACTTGAATCAGCAATCTATTACATTTGAAGATGTTAGAACACATTCTAAGACAATAAAATTCAAAAGTGATTAAAAATATTAATGAAATCAATACAAATATAAAATCTTTATTCTTTTTTTCTAATGAGATTTAGTACTTTTTGAATAAATAATTTTACTTTTCAATTTTCATCTATACTACTACTAAATAAGTATTCATTGGGGGGGATATAAAGGGAAGAAGGGAAACTACAGTAAGCATACACCCATTCTGCATATAATCGAAATATCAATTTAGTACAGGAAAGATTCAAATTTATCAGTTTTGTAGCATGATGGCCAGGGTTTTACTAATAGTTTCATTGATTGATTTTTTACAGCTTATCAACTCATTTGAGGGTTATTTAAAGTCAGAAAATATTTTTAGATTGTAATAATTTTTGAGTTAATAATGATTCAGCGATACAAGTCTTACTAATTAACCCATAGCTAGGGGGAGAAGAGGTGAATTTCCAGGAGTATTTGTGTGTAAGTGGATATAATGAACCTGACTGGAATTGGAAATCAGCTCTCTGACGAGCAATTTTGAGAAATTATCCATTACACCACCCACACATCCAAGCTTACAGCAACTGGTATTGCCAAGTGGTTACCCATCTAGGTACAGACCAGGCTCAATGTTGCTTAACTTCAATGATCATATGGGAACCAATGTTTCAAAGTAATATGTGTGTAAGTCTGTTACAATAGTTCTAATTCAAAAACATTTAAATGTTTAAAACTGACCCAATATTTATTGGTATTATTGAAGCAGTAAGAGTTCTTACATCTAATAATAGGAAGTAACATACGTAGGTGAGGTTTGTTAATATAAACAGAGAAAAAAAACAGTTAAGATGACAAATCTTGTGAAGGAAGTGTACCAAATAAAAATAATGCAGATATATGGAAAATTTTTAAATAAATTTTGTAATATATTTATTTTCAATATTTGTTGACTGTATTTACATGCAGACTATTGTCCTTATCTTTGTTGTTGTCATCACAAAATTTTGGCTGTTGTACCCTCGGGCCTTCATCAGCTGCATATGGATCTGAGTAACCTACAGGAATTTTGAACTACCCTTTATTTAATCTACAGGAGTAGATTGTTCTTATTTTTAGTATTGCTCAATTATTACTGGCTGTTTCCAGAGTCAATGTATACACTGCTCCCTCCATTATTCACCAATTTTTTTCAGATGTCTAACTTTCCAGTGTTCTTAATTCCACAGGTGCTGATGATAACATGATCAGCCATGCCTAATTTCATTGTCCCATCCCTCACTATGCCATTTTGATGTTCTTCCAGCCTTATTTTAAGGAGTGGCATGTTTCACTTTTATATTCTTTGCCACAACTGCAAAGAATCCAGTACACACAGATTAAAGCATTGGTTTGTGAATTTGGTGCCATAGTAATTGTGAGTTCAATCCCTGGGTCAGGCAGTGTGTATTTGGACTCAGTGAAAACAAAGTGAGCAATAACAGAGTAGTATTAAAAATAAGAACTAGACAAGATCTCTCTAGACATGGGTAGTGGAACAAATATGTGTGTTTTTATACCCTTTGAATTTATGTGACCAATAATTTGTCCTCTGTAGAAAATAAGGGTAAAAAGAGCATTGATGTGACATGGCAAGAGAAAACAGGACAACACCAAACTTGAGTGGAAAAAAGAAAGGCTTTATATCAGAAAAAGGAAGAAAAAAAAGGGAAGATAGAAAAATTGGGTTTAAAAATCATTGCAAAAAAACAGTGGTTTTTGCGAGGACTTAACTGGTGGCAGTAAAGTTCATTCAGTTAACAGTTCTTCTCATTTTTGTTGCAACACCAGAATATATTCGTCTTCAGGCTGAAGAGGGATTCAGTTTTCAAATGCTTCGCTGCAACTGTTGAGACATCCTTGTTCCTATGTTGTATTCTTGGCTGCTCCATTTTTGGATATCATGTGGCTGGTTGAGTTCTACAGAGCTAAATTTGTCTGTGTTGACTTGTCAGTGGCACAGGAAAAAAGAGGCCGTGAGAGGCTGCTTTCAGCCCAACCCAGGGACCGGTGATAACGACCCCTACAAAGGGAGGCAATTCATTTATCTATAAAAATATTTTCAATACAAGACCAATCTATCCCGGTAGATTAAAGGGTTCTGTTCAGAATTCCCTATAAGTTCCCCAGATCAACATACACTTGAAGGCCTGATATGTGATAGTAAGTTAAGTAACAAAAAGGATGACTGTTGTATCATTAATTATTATCTAAAAATAAAAAATTTCTTACAATCTAAAAATATAATTTCGGGATTTAAATAACCTTCAAAAGGGTTGATAAGCTGTAAAAAAAAAAAAAAAAAAAAAAAAATCAATCAATGAAACTCACGAAGTAAAACTATCATGCTACAAAAATGATACATTTAAATTTTTCCTGTACTAAATTGATATTTTATTATAAAATTAAATGACAAATATATACTAAATTTTTCTATTTCCTATGCTATGCATAAGACAAAAAAAGAAAAAAAGTTATGACTTTTCTCTCCGCTCTCCTAGTTTTATGACTTTTCTAAGTTTCGCAAATCCACGACTTTCCCTGGAACCATTTTTAAGGGATTGGATTTCAGATTTATCATTTACAACATAATGCCATTATGACGTAAAGGGTCAATTTCTAAAGGAGAAAAAGATAAATTTAAAAAGAAAAAAAAAAATTAAGAATAGTTTAAAAAGGAAATTTACGCACCCATAAATTTTTACAGAACTAAATCGTATGAGACCACGTTATAAATTTTTTTTAAAGAACTTTAAATTACTGAAATAGTGAAAAAAAAAAAAAAGTCAAAAATACATTCTTTTTTTTTTTTAAAAAGAAACGTCCGTGGCATACATAGAAAAAAAAAGAATGCCGTTATTTTTACACACGTATGAATATTATTAAAAAAAAATAAACAACGTGGAAGATTTTTCCCCCCACTGAGGGAAATCGTGTCAAAGGAAAACATCAAAATCAAATAAAATTTTACAGAATAATAATTTTTCGTAAGTTTTGGAAATTTGATTGAAAATTTGGATTCATTCCCCGATTTCAAAGAAATATTTGTAAAATTGCAACATGAATAAACCGAAATGGTAACCTTTTTTTTTTTTTTAGCAATACAACAGGCAAATAACCACGTAGTCATTGGCGTGGTCCAGTAGGCATGGACAACCCATTTTTTTTACTCAAATAAATTTATGGTTAACGTTTAAGATCAAAAGATTTTTTTTTTAAATAAATAAATTTCAAAGGAAATTAACATGAAAGAACTGTAAAAACATGAAAATGTTGTTTTTCTTGTTCAGTTAAAAATAAAAATTAAAAACATACACACCCAGAGCATTTTTTTTTGTTTCCCCACACCAACAATAAAGTACTATCGTGAAGACCTTTTTATTTTCATATATTATTCGTTTAGATAGTAAATAAAGGGTTTTAAAACAATGTATTGTTGAACGTCGAACCTTAGAAAAAAAGTAAAAAAAAAAAAAAAAAAAAAACTATGTCCCCATTTATTTTTAAAAACTGATTAATTTAATTATAAACAATTACCTTTTTCGATGGTTTTACTTTTTTATTTATTTATTTAACCTTCCCCCAATTGTTGAACAAATTCGGCGATGAGACTTTTTTTAAAAAAAAAAAAAAAAAAAGTACATGGAATAGAAGAATTACCAAAAAGTGTTCATGCTAAAAAAAAAAAAAAAAAAGCATTTAAAAATTTGAAGTAACTTTTTAAATTATTGCAATAAGTTTTAAAAATTAAGTTCTTTACTATATTGATGGAAACTAAAAGAAAGAAAAAGCAAAGGAAAAAACAAGCACCTGATGTGGCTAAGTAAGAAGACTGAATAGTAAAATAAGAAAAAAAAAAGTTTTAATAATTTTTGTCATTCTCTCACATTAACATCGTTTGAATGTTTTAAAATAATTTTTAAAATCTTCGTTGCATCTTCTTGTGTAGATAACTTGGTGAATAAAAATAAAATAAAATGGGTTGTCATGCCGACATAACCACGCCAATACAAATGACTAGTCACTACGTGGTTATTTGTCTGTTTAGTAACTTAAGTGTTACTGTTGTAATGTTTTCTGTCATTCAGTTAAATAAAAAGAATGAAGAAATATTTTATTTAAGGTAAGATTTAAAATATTTTTGAAATCGTGGGACGTGACCTACGTTTCAAATCAAATTTGAAAAAAAAAAAAAAAAAAAATATTGAAAATTATTGTAAATTTTTTTTTATTTGATCTTTGTTTTCCTTTGACACGATTCCCTGATAAACTTCCACGTCGTTCGTTTGAGTTTATATATAGAAATTTATTTTTCATAATTTACTAAGATAAAAGTGGTACAAAAACCAAACAACAACTTTTTCTTCTTTTTCGTCTCTTAGTTCATAACTTTTGGTAGCATATTGTCAAGCATTCCCACCACAAGTTAATTTAGAACTAACAAAGATTTTTTTAATTTTTACAATCATATTTTAGTTTAGTACAATTTTTATTTATCTTTGATGGTTTTCCATTTCCTTACCAGTACATTTTTTTTTTAATTTAATGAAGCCTTTGTAATCTTTTTCCCTAATTATAAAGAATTATCAAACATTCGTTTTTTGTTTTTTTTTTTTTAAAAAAAAAAAAAAAAAAGTCCCAAAAATTTAGTTAAGAAGAAAACAAAATTGCCCTAAACAAAAATAAAAACTTAATGTTTTATTTAGTTTTATTATGGATTTTTCTTTCTCATCTTCTTGTCGACGTTGCTTGTCATAAAAAGTCACAAAAAAAATACTATACAAAAATTCGAGTTAGTCTTACTTACTCTTAATTCAAAAGCCATTGGAGATAAAATTTAAAATATAAAAAAAGTTTTCATAAAAAAGAAAAAAGTTTAAAAATTATTTATTTTATTTTTAAATCTTAACTAGTTATTTTTTTCTTCTGTGTCTAATTGAAAAACAAATTAAATTATAATCAATAAATTTAGGAAAATCCAAATCAATTCATAAATAAATAATTTTAAAACTTAAAATGAAAAAAAAAAAAATAGCAAAAAGCCTTTAAAAAGCTAAAAGCGAAAGAAATGTTTTAATTTTTTCAGACATCTGAAAATAAAGTCGTTTTTTTAATCACTTTTAAAAAAAGGTAATAAAAAAGCAAAGAGATATGAGAAAGAAAACCAAAGAATTTGAGGTTAGTTAGCCGAATGATGACAAAACAAAGCGGCAGACGACACTCTAAACTGGACACAAAATGGGGGACTGACATTCAATTCATTCTTCTATTAAAAATAAAATAAAATGAATCTCTGCATTTACTTAACATTGAGAATTTGAATAAACACGGTAAAGATCTACCAACCTAAAACCAAAAAATTCAAAACAATTATAAGTCATTACAAATACCTCTGTCTTCAAACGATACTGAAGATTACCAACAGCAAGCGACCGTTCAAGTCTTCTACAGACAATTAAGAATTGAGATCGCCTAACATAACAAGCATGGCATACAAGAGCATGATATCCGAATTAGATTCGTATAAAATATTTGAAATAAATATATAATTTTATAGTTTTTATAGATTATAAAAGTTAAAATGAAAATAAGAATTTAATATTGTTTTTTAATTATTATTTTATTTTCACTATCATTTTTTTTGGTTTTATTTTTACGAAACTACCGTCATTGACGTGAGCTCTGGAGGAATGACAACCATATTGTTACAGTGTTGTTTAATATCGGATTTGTAGCTTTTTCAAGCAATTTGCTACAATAATATATTTTCTGTTTATATTTTCTATATTTGATTTAAATTAAATTCTCAAAAAACGCACAATGGGTTGCGATGGTGGTACCATACCAAGAAGAGATGAATTGGTAAGAACAAAGAAGAAACCTGAACAGGTAATTTATTTTTCTTTTCTACTTCAGAAGTTAGTAAAAAAATGCAATTTGACTTTTTAAAGTTAATTTCTTTTTAGAGAGCCTATCCTAACCATCAATTAAGATTGTGTATCCGTTTTTATGTCAAATGCTACCTTTTGATTCAATGTCTGTTGTAAATCGAACTAAAAACACTAAATTGACTAAAACAACCATCAAATTAAAAAATCTTGTTTTTATTTAGTTTACTAAATAATAGTTTTAAAAAATCAACCAAATAAAATATTTGAAGCAGATCAACATTTTTTCAAATTGAATATTAATTAGAACTTGTAAGAAAAAAAAATTACATTTGTAAGTATTTAAATAAAAAAAGCGATAAGGGTTTTATTAAAAAATAAATGAAAAATCTTTCTTGAAGCTTTTATTTTTTTAGTTTTAATTTTAAGCTAATAGATTAAAGAATTAATTATTTCCAATAATCAAAATACTTTGCTGTCTTTCAAACCGTTAATCAGCCATATTGGCGAATTTGTCAACGCAACATAGGAATTTCAACCAATAAAATTCCATCAGAAGGTTTGCTAAACAATCATTACAACAGCAAACTGTCAAAATACTTGCGGACGTAGTTGTAGACCTACCACGTGTTATTTTTGTACCATAATAATAATAACTCCCTTTACTATTCCCGCAAACTCGAGAAAAAGATTTTCGCAAGCCAGTGTGAAATTATTTTCTAACTAATGAAAACCTTGTATTCAAAAATTTACACCTCTTTGTGAAATTAGGTTTTGAATCCCCTACAGCATACTACTTCTCGTGGTTCAAAACAATTTCGGAGACTAGTTTGATCTACAGCTGTGTAAATGCACAGGCACCCAATAGAAGAGATTAACCAGCAACCGCCTATTAAGCCTTTTGTCTACAAACTCACAAACACATTAGGCTGACCATCATAAAGTAAGTCTATCCATGCATTTCACATCACCCTAATAACACTTAGGTACCTCCACTATTTTGGCAAAAATAAAAGCCATTTTCTTAATTTAATTTTAAGAAATTTATAAACAAAACAAATTTAATGATTTTAAAATTCTTCCAAAAAAATATATATTTTTGACGCGTTATTTGAGTAAAATTAGAAAATTTAAAGTTAAATTAATCTGATTTGAAATAAATATTACTTACTTAGAGCATAAAAAATTAATATACAACCATTTGTTAATGATTGGTACTGTTTACTGAGCCAATAATTGATGTATGATTGAATAACGAAGTGATGACAGCTAGTTATGGATGACCCGAACTGACATAAATTTCCGAAAACTAATTTCAAATATGAATGAAATAAAGTTTAAAAATAATTTAAATTTATTAAACATTAATTTTAAAATTAAACATCTTTATCAAAATAACTGTCATTAAAAGGAATAAACTGAAAAAATTAAAAAGAAATTATGAAGAAAAAAAAAAATTTTTGGTTTCTCCTTAAAAAAAAAATTACTCAATTGAATTATGACCCATACTAATCTAAATACATAAAATAAAAATATTTAGTGAAATAGTAATTGAGAAAGTAAAACTTACTTTAAATTTTAAACTTTTAAAGCTGAAGGGAAAACCTGTTGAATCATAAACTATAGTAACAAGTGAATTTCTCTCTAAAGGGACAAAAACTATTAGGTCACGTGACCTTTTCATAATAATGTCAATTTGAGCCTACCATAGCCAAAGGCTATGGTAGAAGAAGGAATGTATTAAATAAAAAATTATTTTAAAATTAGAATAGTGTAACTAGGTTTATTAATCTTTTCAGTTTTGGATTCGTAAATTTTGTTTCCACTTAATTACTATATCACATCCAGGAAATAGCCCAATACAGAATTTTACATGATTTTTAAACTATTAAAATTATTATAATTAAAATTTAGAAAAAATGAAAAAGTTCTTGTAAAAATTCATTATTCATCAGAAAAATTTTATTTCTTCAGACTATAGTGTCCTTAATATAACTTATTTGCTATTAAAAGCTTTTCTAATTAAATAATGTCATAGTTTTATTGCATTTATTATTTTTCAATTCAGAGCAGATTTTCAGTTAGTACAAATTTGAAAAAAAATTAGGTGATTTATTGTCCTACTTTTAACAAATAAAAAAAATTCAGAAAATAGAAAGGTATTTTGCGAAATTTCATGAAATTAAGTAAGTGGTGTGTAACATGTAAAAAAAAAAAAAAAAAAAATTACCAAAATTTTCTTAAAAAAAAAAGTTTCAAAACTAATTTCATTCATTTGTGAATAAGTCCTGAAAATTTCATTAAAATTGGACAATTATTTGATTTTTTACAAGAATTTCCAAATCAATGTGTTTTCAATGGAAAAAAAGCGCAAAAAGTCAATGTTGTTATTATGCCACCAATGATATAAATAAAACAAAATTTTAACCAAAATTTCAAATGTGTTAGCCAGGATTAATAATTTGGCCTTTCATGTTAATAATAACAAACATTTTGATGATAAAACTTTATTTTTATTAAGTTTGTGGCATTTTTCATTATATATTGTCATTGTATAACTCTGAAAAGAACAAATGTTATTTCAACTGATGTTCTACTTCGACTTTTCCTCCAGAAAATAACCTTTTTATGTTTCATTCAAAAGATGTGTTGTTGTTAAGTGTTTGAAATCCTGGTACTCAACAACAAAAACCTGGGCAGATGGATCCCAATAACAACATGAATCACTTTATTAAAAAAAAAACCTTTCAAAAATATACTTTTCTGAAACTTTTCTTTGAGGAAGATTAACTGATTTAAAAAAAGAAAAATGTAATTAATGAGTATGCTTAATTTAATTATCTGCATATTGTGGGCCATGAACTGTTTTATGGAATCACTAAATAAAATCTGAGGTGTGATCAAAAAGTGTGATCAATCAGGTCTGATGCTATAAAAAGAAAATTCCAACATATATCAATTCAGCATTTAATCTTCTTCTGAAGTCATATTCTTTATCCAGCATAGTTTTTATTAATGGAAGCATGGAACTCTGTTTTTGGTATAATGAGCAGCTGTCTCATTGCATTCTCTTGGATTTCCTTGGCATCTTGAAATCATGTTCCTTGAAAGTAAGATTTGATTTTTGGAAAGAGGAAAAAGTTACAAGTGGTGAGATCTGGGGAATATGGTGGTTGTTGGACCTGTGATATGTGGTTATTAGCCAAAAAATTGCTGTACAAGATACATTGTCATGGAGGAGTTGCCACTCACCGGACTCCTACAATTCTGTCCTTTTTCTGACAAACAGCATCCCACAAATGCTGAAACATAGTAGTATTCCTTGTTTACCGTCTGACCAAGTGGAGCATACTCATGATGAACAATGTCCTTGTAGCTGAAGGAAACTATCAAGTGTCTTCACATTGCATTGACTCATTCGTGCTTTCTTCAGTCGTAGGTTGGGATCTTCCACTGTGAAAACCGAGCCTTGGTTTCAGGATCATAGCCATAGACCCATGATTTATCACCTGTTATGACTGTTTTCAAAATGTTTTTTTCCTCCTCAACATAAGATCTTGCACAGCTGAAACCCAATTTTCTTTTTGGTCCACTGAAACAAGTTTTGGTACAGACTTGGTGGAGACACATCTCTTACCCAAATCTTCAGTGAGAATGGACTGAACTGAACCGTAACTAATGTTCACATCCTCAGACAACTCATGCATAATGATTTGATGGTCTTTCTCAATGGCTTCACACACATCTGCAATGTTTTCATCAGTTTTGCTGGTTGTGGGTCTCCCAGAATGTGTGTCACTGTTGACATTTTGTCAGCCGTCTTGAAGACGTTTGAACCACTCATACATCTGTGTCAGGCTCATACACTCCTCTCCATATGATTTCTGCAACTTTTTGTAGGTCTCTGTACAGATATCACCAAGTTTTTGGCAAAATTTGATGCAGATTCTCTGTTCAGTTTTTTTCTGCTATAGTCACTGATGGAACCTCTGGTGTGATGAGATGATCACACACTACACACCTTCCTTCCAAGCACTGCTATAAAGAATGGAAGTGAACAAGAACACTAACTTAGTGTTCATGCGTGGCAATGTCAATCTGTGATAAGAGGCTTCACTCTGTGTACTTTAGTTCCATTACCATAGCAACAGTCCTGATACTTTTTGTTCAGACCTTTTGTATCATTTATTCTTCAAAATGGGCAAAAAATATTGTGAAGTGTGTGTGTGTGTGTGTTTGCTTACAAGACCTATGATTTCCAGTAATTAGTTATTTAAAGCCAGAAAATATTTTTAGAGTGTAATTATTTTTTTTCCTTTTGAGATAGATTTACTACTACAAGTTCTGGATGTGTGTTGTGGTGTAATGTGTATTGGCTTGGAATGAGAACTCTAGGAGCCAAGTTCGAATTCTAGTCAAGTTTGTTATCCACTTATGCACAAATACCCTTGGGAACGGTATAAATCCATCTCTTCTTCCCCCTCCCCCAAGCTATCGATTGAATAGCAGTACAGACTGGATTCTTTAGCTCAACCAGTGAACTGCAGAAAAAAATCTTCTGCCTTGTCAGTCATGTATCAAAAGATACATGATCAACAAAATGTGTATCACATGTGGCACAACTGACTGACTACCAGTTCTAGTACTTAAGCCATAGCTGCATGGAGATGAAGTGGAACCAGACTTTTCCCATAGGTATTTACACGTAAGTAGATATAATGAACCTGACATGAATTGGAACTTGGCTCTTTGATTTCTACTTGGGAGCTATTATCCATTATGTTAGTCACACATCTAAGCTTACAGCACCTGATATTCCCAAGCAACGACCCATTTAGGTACTGACCAAGCTTGACGTTGCTTAACTTGGTGAGTGTATGATATGGCAACAAGCTGTTAAATTTAGAAAAGGTCATTTTTGTGATCTAGTGTCAGGGAAGAACAAGAGAAGGCCTAATTGTATTTAATTAATACTGGAAAAAGAATTAATTAAGATTGTTA